GTCACCTGGATGAGTGATGAAACGTTTCTCCCATTTAAAACACTGCATCCAGATGACCGAATCAACATTTTGGGACACAGATATTTTCTTCCACAAAGGGACATTAAATACCTGAAAACTCTTAATAGAAGCAGATGTCTTAGAAACAAGCAATCTTGTCTGCTTTTCCTTGTGCTTCCCTGAACTGATTTTTCAGTTCACTGTTGCACTGCAATTCAATGAGTTCAGTGGGGACACTCCACATCAGCTGAGAAGAGGTCTACAAGCAGCTGCAAGTGTCACCGCATGCCTCCAAGTCAGCAAATCACGTTTCAAACTGCCATTGCAGGATTTCAATAGCAGACAGATGAGTTTTGCATAGTTTCAGTTTTGTGGAGAAGGCTTTCACACTCTCATAGGCCGCTATAATGAGCTGTCCAAAACCTGGCAGCTTTACGTTCAGAATGTTTAGCTTCTGTATAATGTTTACAAGGAATGCCATTATCCATTTTGAATCATCCAATTCAAGAACATCCAGTTTAAAACTTCAATGAATATCTAGAATTTAGCTTTTAACTCAAAGAATCTCCTCAACACACCCCTTCCTATGCTAATGCACACCAGTAAAGTGCCTTAAAATCTTTCAATTTCCTTCAAAAATGCCCCGAACTGGTGGTGTTGTAAACCTCTGGACCTGATGTAATTTACACATTTCAGGATTACAGACATGACTTCAAGCATTTTCTGCACAGTGCATGTTGATGTTTAATGCAGTGCAGAGCCATTGCTGGATCTGGATCTTTTCCTTTGGTTTGGCTGTACATGGAACACAAACTTAGCACTTCTGTCAACTCTCCATGAGCCAGGAGTTTGTGACATCTGCTTTGAAGTTTACTCAGGATATGTATTTTGAATTTTTCTTCAGTGACTTAGGAGAAAACAGATCAAACACCCTGTGTAGCAATATTAATTCCCATTTCTCTATGTAGTAGTTTACGGAAAGTATTAGATATCCCACAATACTAATGTTAATGTTGGTTATTGAAAAAGTTTTTTTTTTATGCTTTAGATTGTGACACTTAAAGTTAGTATAAAATTGATTTCATAAGTTATTGTACAAATGAAAAAAATCCAGAGGTTGTCAGATGAGAGGTACTCACAAATTTTTCATGGACTGGCGCCCCAGTTACCTGTCAGCTTTAACATACTAATCAGCCTGGTTTGGAAGGCTGATGTTAAGGTGCTGGAAGAGAGACTGGCCAGTTACTGAATGTTAAATACATTTTTTCTGGTTTTCTACCAACTTCTACTTATTTACATGTTACTGAAGCAGTGATACGCAACAAAACACTTTTCGTACTTGAACTCAATACAATTCACTAAGCTGTTGAGTCTCAGTGGATTCAGAAGGACTAGTAAATTTTTACAACTATAGGGAATCATCTTAATCACTATCTTAAAAGGTCACTTTTTGAATTTTTACTCTTTACTTGAACTAATTCTTCATGGTTCCTCCACAGTGTGGACCAGGAGAGCTCAGAGGTTCTCAGTGATCACTCTGCCCAGCAGCATCAAACACACCTGGACTCCATATTTATGGTCTGTACATGTACAACAACTACTTTCACATCTATTCTGTTCACAGTCATCTCCATGCTGCTCTTTGTAGACCAGTGGATTGTCAGTGTGCCCAACATGGATCTGATGTTTGGATCCATGATTTCAGTCTAATTGGCTCATTCATAATGTATTCTGTTCCAGCTGCTGGAGGACAACATCATCACTTTTGTGAAGAACGAGCTGAAGAAGATCCAGAAGGTTTTGAGTCCAGATTACCCAGAATGCGTAGAGAGTCAGTGGGAGGATGATGAAAAGAGGAGCACCAGAGAGGCATTTATAAAGATCACACTGAATTTCCTGAGGAGAATGAAGCAGGAGGAGCTGGCTGACCGTCTGAAGAACAGTAAGAGGATATAT